TCTCTTCAACCCCACCAACTGGATCACAGTCAATACCAGCTGCTATACACTGGACCAACGACAACAGTTGTTAGCTAAATTCACCAAGAACTGAACTTCATGAATAGCAGAGAGTGGTGCACTAGTTCATATCTTGATCACATCCACCAGAAGGCAGTTGGTGAGTGCCTAAGAATACACCAACATACATTCATTAACTTAACACAAATTCAACAGTACCTAAAAAGCAGCAAAAATTTTATGTTCACATGTAAAAACAAGACAGAGTAGCTCAAACAAGTGACCAAGAGAGACATATGAAATGTTTCTGAGGAAAAAGAGGTAATGAAAAAGAGTTCTGGAGAATGATATGCAAGTACCTCCAAACTATTGAGAGGAAGGTAGAAGAAAATAAAGAAGAATTGAGAAAAGTGCTACAGGAACAACCAAACAAAACAGATGAAGTGTTGGAGAGAATACAAAACCTGCAAACAGATATCCAGAAGACTAATAATACACTGATAGTACAAAGGAGTTGATATGAATCTATAAAAGTCAGAATTAGTGAACTGGAAGATAAAACTCTCAATACTAGTAATTTAAAGAAAAAAAGAATGGAAACAACCCCAAGAAAGCCTAAGATTCAAGTGTGACAATATGAAGAGGAATAAACTACGGGTAATTGGAATTCCAGAACAGGAAGAGACAAAGAACACCACAGAAAAGATAAGTCAAGAGATGTTAGAAGAAAATTTCCCTAACATCATAAAAGATGAGAAGACAAGCATTCAAGAAGCCGAGTGAACCCCAGGCAAGATAGATCCCAAAACAAAATTACCAAGACATATCATAATCAACCTCTCCAAAATCAAAGACAAGGAAAGAATCCTGAAAGTAGCTTGTAGAAAATCAGAAGTTAACTACAAAGGAAAACTTTTAAGGTCTGATTCCTCAGCAGAAATCATGCAGGCAAGAAGGTAATGGGGAGACAAATACAAAACACTGGAGGGAAGACAAAAGAAAACTGCCAACCAAGAATCACATACCATGCAAAGCTGTCTATCAAATATAACAGTAAAATTAGAACATTTCCAGATAAGTAGACATTAAAGCACTTTGCAAAAACCAAGCCAACTCTCCAAAATATACTAAAAAGAGTTCCTTGGACTGAAAGCCAACAAGAGAAGACCACAACCCAGAATTCAGTCCAGATATGGAAGTGTCAAGAGTAGAACAAAACTAGAGGACAAAAAAATAGGGAATCTGAGATGTCAACCTATGATCAGGACAACTACAAAGCAAAGGTAGGGAAAAATATAGTTGCAGAGTTCCAGGTGGTAAATAGGTCAGATAGATTTCAAGATAAAACATTGTTTTAAAATGGGGAAGAAATTAATGAAGTACAGGGTAACGTCAAAAAAAACTTACTACACCTTCACATCAAATCAAGAAAAGATAAGTCCATGAAGATTTTGTAAACATTAAAACCATGAAGAAATTAACAAGAAAAAGCACATAAAAAATGAACTGAGCACAAGAAAACATGCAGAACAAAGAAAGCAGTAGCACGACAAAAATACATACGTCAAAATGATTGCAATCAATCCATACATATTGATATGGGTTGAACACACCAGTCAAGAGACAGAGATTAGCAGAATGGATACGAAAACAGGATCCTTCAACATGCTGTGTACAAGATACACACAAAGACAAAAAGAGATTAAAAATGAAAGGATGGGAGAACAAACAAGATGGCTGATCGGGTGGAAGTGCCGTAAAGGAGCTCTGCCAACAATAACACCGAATACCTGACCAAGCAGTCTCAGGGGCTGATCCCAGAACTCTGAACCACACATAAAGGAATATTTAGAAGGTTGGAAGGCTTACAGCTGGGGGAATTTGTGGCAGAAACAAGAAATCGATTGCTTTCTAGTCCAGGACGCTCAGCTGCTCCAGAAGCCACCATCTTGAATGAGACCATGCGGGGAAAGGATCAGAGCAGTCACAGACGCCTGGAAGAACCGCTGAGATAAAGGTGTGGCCATTCTTTTCTTTTGGTATCATCATTGGTCCCTTGCTATCTGCGCAACTCCATTCTGGTGACTATAGGGGTACCTGAGCTAGTGGGCACCCCAGCCCCACCCTCGGAGGGCTCTACTATGCATGCGCACAGATCTTCTCGAATTTTAAAGAGACAGTTTCCAATTAAAACCAAACGGCCACAGCCGGCCCTGAACTGTTTACAACTAGAAAAAAGGCCTGAACGGGGATTGTGGAGCGGGACAAGCAGACAAAAGAGGAAATAGGCTGAAAATTAAATCCTAAATTACGTCAAAACAACCAACAGTGGTATCTTGAAACTTCTCAGGAAGAAGAGTGAAAAGGGATG